ACCAAACCATATGGTAGACTGGGAAGTCACCGAGGATCTCCTCTGGATCTGTGGCATCCCATAGTTCTTCTTTCTGTGGATCTGTAATAAATGTTTCAAACTTGAGTCTTTTAGTCACCGAGGATCTCCTCTGGATCTGTGACATCCCATAGTTCTTCTTTCTTTGGATTTGTAATAAATGTTTCAAACTTGAGTTTTTTTTCACACCTCTTTGTCCGATTTTGTTGAAAAGTCACACCCTTTTGAAGTCCTTGAAAATAATTTTTCTTAATTTTTATCGAGAGTATTCTTAAGTGATTTCGGTCTTTAATTAACTATAGGGGCTTGCTCTTATAGGAAGCTTTTCCGAACACAACTTAAAATAAATCATATTTAATTTTTCATATTAAATAGAGAAATTTGTTGGCAAATAAAACGGTTTTGCAGACCAAACGAATGTCATGTATTTTTTAGTTTATTTGATCGAGTCTTATCCTCAAGTCTTGTGTTTATCCCTCGGGATAGATACAGAGTTTGAGGTAAAACGCTTCTTCATTTAAACTATGAAAAATATGGGGTCAGTTTAATTTTCATATTTGATTTTAAACTTAAATATATATGTAAATTAAAGCGTCCTTCCGAAGCCGGTGACGGAATTTCGATTCGAGTGACCGACAGCTTCCTACGGGCAACTCCTCCCCCAACCCCACTTTTTTATCGCCGACAATGCTCTTATTGTTGAAAATAATAAACAAAATTTTTGTATAGTTGACTCTGAAGCCTTGATCATATGATGGGAGACATTAATGTCTTAAAAAATTACAACTAATGCACCAATACTTTGCGGTTCGAACAACCAACGGTTCATTCCCTCTAGTAGCAGGAACTGGATCAATCAGATTTATGAAGAATTTTCAGCTCTACTCAATTATTTATGTCCAAAATTAAATTGCAATCTACTCTTAATCAGCAAATTGATTTGACTTAAAATATGTGACTAAATTTTATTCTAATTTTTGTGATTTTCACGTAAGGGATTTATGGAAGATGATTGGCATTGTTGAGATGCATGGTGATTTATATCTGCTAAAAAAAAACAATATCATTGTTAGATAAATTCATAAATTGATCCATTAAATTGTATTTTTGATTCTAATTCAAAATTTGTTAACTAGTTCTTAATTATAAGTCTGCTTTAGTTGAAAGTGAAATCATGTTTAGACATTGTCCTTTTGGTCATCAAAATTTTACTTATATTGAAAAAATATTATTACATTTGTTTATCAATAAAAGTCTAATTTCTATCAATGTGAAACATGTTAACTTGCAAAATATACCAGACATTTATACTATAAACTACAATACAAGTTCTTTTATCCTTTTTTTGTTATTCACATTGATATTTATGGACTCTCCCAAGTAAAAAATATAGATGTGACACACTGATTTCTATCATTCATAAATGATCATACTAAAAATGATTTGGACAATTCTTATGAAAATTTTGAAATCGTTAGCATCTATCGATCCTTTCATTCCATGTTCCTTACTCTCCATTTCAAAATAAAATTCAAGCTCTTAAAGTTGATAATGTTAAGGAATATTTTAATTTCATTCTTAGCCCTTATCTTTTTAGATATAACATCACCCATATAAGTTCTTATGTTGATACTCCTTAATAAAATGTGGTCGCTAAGAGGTAGAACAAACCTTTTTTTAAAATAACTCATGATATTATAATTTTAATCATATGACTAAACATTTTTGGGTGGAAGTTATACACACGGCCACATATCTTATCAATAGAATGCTTAATCGTGTCCTAAAATTTCAAAATCCCTGTATTGTTCTCATGGAATTCTATCTACATATACACTTTTTTCTTCTGAATTGTCATTGAAAGTCCTTGATTGTTCCCTTAGTGCACATCCACCAACAACACCACACCAAACTTATTCTAAATCTCTCAAATGTAGCTTCCTCGATTACTCCTCCAACCAAAAAGGATACAAATTCTACTCTCCAATTACTAGGAAAATATAAAACTTCATGGATGTCTCATTCTCGGTGAATCAATCTTATTTTCCCAAAATTGAAATTCTGTGGGAGAACTTAAGGGAAATCAAATTTAGGATCTTCTCCAAGGCACTCAAACTAAATCAAATCCAACCACTTAACAACTAAATCAAATCCTATCACTCAACCAACTTCACTTGAAGAACCAAAACCTGTCACTAAAACGACCCCAATTGTCTCTACCCCACCTCAACTTGACACCAGTGATCAGGAACTTCGTGTCTATACCAGAAGAAAAAGAACCCCTGGGCATGTAAAGGACATCACACAGGTCAAGAACTGTCAATAACTTAAACCAAGTCCTCATACATCTGATAATCATAATGGTATGGATTCCTTATCTCATGCTCAAAGGTGTGATGATCATCCAATCGAAGTATATGTAGCTTATGGAAAACTATTGCTATGTTATACTGATAATCATAATGGTATGGATTCCTTATCTCATGTTCAAAGGTGTGATGATCATCCAATCGAAAGATATGTAGCTTATGGAAAACTATTGCTATGTTATAGAGATTTTGTAACAAATCTTGACAGTGTGCAGGTTCTCAACTCTATTCAAGAAACTGTAAAGGTTCCGTCATGGAAACAAGCAGTTGATAAAGAAATTCGGGCTAGAAAATAATAACACACGGACACTTACAAAGTCGCCTCATGGAAAAAATCTTGTAGGCGGCAAATGTTCATAACTTGATTGGTTGTCAAGGGCTTAACGGTCATATGGGATTGACTACCATAAAACATTTGTGCCAGTTGCCAAGCACAATATTATTAAGGTTCTACTCTCTTTTGCAGTAAATCAAGATTGACCTTAATACCAACTAGCTGTCAAAAATATTTTCTTAAATGAGGACCTTGATGAAGAAATCTACGTGATTATACCTCTATGTTTTGGAAAATAGGTTAAATAACATATTGATTTGCTAGTTGAGGAAGTTCTTATATGACTTGAAGCAATCTCCGCGTACTTGATTTGACAGTTTTGCTAATACTTATGACAAATGGTTATCATCAATGTTAAGTTGATCATGCACTGTTTGGTAAATCCAATTCAGGAGCTAAAATTAATATTCTCATAATATTTGTAGGTGATATTATTTTGACAGGTGATGATTCAGAAAAAATTGTTTGACTAAAAAAAGTTGCTTGCTAGAATCTCGGGACTCTCAAATACTTTCTGGGAATGGAGGTGACTTAATTTAAGGAGAGAATTATCATATCCCAAAGAAAGTACATCTTAGATATGCTAGAGGAAATTGGTTTGTTTAGATATAAATCTGCTGACTCACCCATGGATCCCTACGAAAAATTGAGCATAAATGAAACAAGTAGTATGGTTGATAATGTTATCAAAGACTTGTTGGAAAGTTAATCTACTTATCACACACAAGACCTGATATTGTATACTCAGTTAGTGTATTAGGGTTTAGGATGATTTGGCAGCAATGAATATAATTTTGAGATAATTAAAGGTGACTCCTGGTTATGGTTTGTTCTTCAAAAGTTCCGAAGATCATGATATTAAGAAATACACATATACTAGTTCGGCGGGAGAGGTAATTGATAGGAAATCAACCACTGGGTACTATTCATGTCTGGGGCAATCTCGTCATGTGGAGAAGCAAGAAATAAGTCATTGTCTCTCCTAGTAGTGCATAATCTGAATATCGTGCTCTTGCACTAGGAATATGTGACGTGACTTCAAAAATTATCAAGCGAACTTAAGGTTGAGGCAAATGACAAAATTAAGTTTTTTAGTGATAATCAAGCAACTATAGTATAGCCAAAATTTTTGTGTACCAATGACAGAATAATATATATCGAGATTGACCGGCCCTTCAACTCAGAAAAGGCTAACGACAAAATCGTTTAACTAAGTTATGTTCCAACAAGACTTCAAATTATTGATATTCTCGCCAAAACATTACCAACGGTTAGTCATGATACATTAATATACAAACTTGGTATGTATAATATTTACAACCAAACTTGAGGGAGAGTGTTAAAAGTAACAGATTTATATACTTTATTAGGAAAAAAATTATTTTATTAATTCGATATATATTTTAAAATTTTTTTGTTTCCTTTATTTAACATTTTTTATTTTTTTGGTTTCTTAATTGTATGGGATTCTTAATTTAAAGGAATTTCAATAATTTACGGACTAGTATGTCGGTCACTCTATTACTTATAGTAGTATGTAATTCGTTATGAAGTGAGGAATAGATCTTTCTCGGATATTCCACATATGTGCGTGGTTAACACTTGCATCGTCGCAACGCGGATCAATCCTTCAATATGGTTTTAATTTTTTTTTTCTTGCCATATAGATTATCCATTAACATAAATGCATGGGCTGTAAGTTGATACATTTTATAGAGATGATGGAAGTAATACATGTTCACGATTGGTTCTTAAAACTAGGCCTAGGTGTTTCAACGTGCACCACAGAGCAAATTGCTCATCAATAAGATGGATATAATGAGTTTAATTGGAAAATATTTTATTCCAAAATCGGCAGAGTAAAGGTAACACTTTATAAAGTTTTGCAGGAAAAGCTTTGTGAGAAATTAATTAGCATCTCACATAGCACTTAACATTAATGGATGAAAAAAGATGATGCTTAAAGTTGACCCTAAATAATTTGGATACGAGTTAAACAAATTCATGCAACATATTGCTACAATGTCTTAAGCATATTTAGACTTATAAAGGTTTATGAATTGTAGGAGTCAATTTTCAAATTGGTTGTTTTTGTTATTTGAACTTTTGACACCCAAATAATAATAGAGGCATCTAAACTATTGCATCAAGCTCACTGTCCAATTCATGCATACATTTAAGAACTTTTTTTAGTTAGGAGCTCAAGTTTGAACACATCATGCAGTTTTTCTTTTCTGCTGCACAAATCCTTATGTGTACTTTGTATGGGGTTCGTGCAGGGGTGAAATCCTTTGCTTGTGTTGATTGTGTATTGAATTGTGATCCCAAATCAACTTCATCGTGCTCTACTTCAGATGATGGCTATTTTCATCTTCCTATTCTGGTTTGTTGCTGAAACTCAATATTTAGATTTGGGTAGGTAAAAATATGAGAAAAATGTGAAAATGGTTCCATGACTATTTTGCAAGTTGTCTCAGTTTATGAAAGTGTCAATTTAGTCCCCAAATTCTTTTAATGAGGGCTAAAATAGTCCTTTTTGGTAACTGTTTCAGCCCGTATTAAAAAGTTATGGGGACTAATTTGGCACTTTTAAATACTCTGGGACTAAAATGTCCGATGTAAATAGTTAGGCGACTATATTGACGCTTTACTCATGAAAATATTTGCTCAAGGTTTGGATAAACTTTCACGTATCTAAAAATTTACCTTTCTTTTCTTCATGTACGTTCAAACAGTCCTCAAAGCTGGACAGGTTCTCCTTGATGAATAGCCTTCATTTGTCAATAAGGTTTGCTGGATTGCACCTGAAAAGAGGGAAGAAATTACTCATTTGTTGTCATAATGGTAAGTCATAGCTACTCATTTTAGATATTGAAGATAAAATTTACTTCTTTTTTGTAAATGTTTACAATTTTATTTTTGCTTTTGTGCAATCTTTTAAGTTATATTTTCTTAAAATTTCATTTGAAACCAAACAGCGAGGAATAAATAAGTTATGTTGTAACTATAGGCGTGAGAGAGTTGAACATATGTGAACTATCTAATATCATATTGTTTGAAATATTCATATATTCACCCACTATTAGTTTCTTATGATCAACAAACTATTTATTGAGTTGAACTCAAGCAAACATAGCAAACAAAAAATGAATTGTTTTGAACATTCAAATTAACAAAATACAGTTAAAGTTAGTACAATAATGGCATAACATAACGATAAGCATAACCAAAGTAAATTTTCTTTATAAATCAAATGTTTATAATAGAATTAGTACAACTCTTCTAACCATACATACGTAAATATAGCAAATTACAATTTATTGAGTCCAAGTGAATATATCAAGCAATAAAATGACTTGCATTGTTTTGAATGCCCATATTAACAAAAGACAATAAAGTTCTATCTAACATAGTGATAAACATAAACCAACAATTAAAGTTTTCTTTTTCAATCATATATTTACTATAGAATTTGTACAACTTTTCTAACTATACATAAGCAATTATAGCATTACAGCTTACAATTTTAATTCATGCCTTCAGAGGTTTTAACAAATTAATTTAGAAATTAATGTCTACAAACTTTTGAACGTTAGCCTTAATGTGTTGTTAGTGACCTGAACTCAAACATTTGAAACGATAAATTCAAGCTCAAACAATGAAGTAGCAAAAACAATGAAGTAGCAAGTATTGATGAACGCAAACTATACACAAGAAATAAAATAATTTGCATATATCTTGCTCGTTTACACCCTACATTCAGCCATGCTATCAAAATAGGCATTCTAGGTGCTAGTAAGTTTGGATTATCTTGAATCTTGGATGCAATTATTATTGGACCCATCACCACTACAAGTCGTCCCCAGATTATCTTGAATCTTGGATGCAATTATTCTTAGACCTATCACCACTACAAGTGGTCCCCAGATACCATTGCCCACAGTTATGAGTGATTTGCTATTCTAGAATTCACTCTCACTCTATATGTTGCCTCTCCTATGTATATGGGGGTGTGGAAGAATAATGAAGACATGTTTCTGCTTTTCTCTGTTCTAGTTCTCGGGTGTCATTAATTCCTTATCTCATTGTCTTTATGGTATCAGAGCTGTGATCTCTCCAATTGTGGATGAATCAATCTTATCTCATTGTTTTTATGGTATCAGAGCTGGGATCTCTCCAATTGCTGGATGAATCAATCTGCTAAGCAAATTGCTTACTCCTAAGCATACTCAAGGGAGCTGTCTGCCTACAAGAAATTGCTGAGATTCTCATCTACAGGCTCTTCACCTTTCCCATTTGATTCTGTGGTTTGATCTCTGCCTCTCTCAAAAAAATGGAGGATTCAGCCATGCCCTGGACACAGAATTCCCTAATCTCAACCCAGTTTATCCAAATACGCCCATCTCTCAAACTTCTTACCTCTCTGTTGAAACAATTTTGTCAAAATTTTCTCACACCTGAGAACTACCATGTATGGCGTGCCCAAATAGTGAAAATATTCACTGCCAATGGCTGTGGCAGCAAGAAGTGTCCCTCAGAATTTCATCCTGATGGAACCGAGAACCAACAATTCCAAGAGCAGATCCTTATTGATCAAAATCTTGTAGCCTCCCTCTACTGCATCATATCATCTGCTGTCCTCCCTCATGTTATTAATCTTCAAACTACAACAGATATTTGGGCAACTTTGGAACGCAGATTGCAACCTACAAATCGGTCCAATGTAATACAATTGAAGAATGAATTACATCATCTTGCTATGAAAGATAAATCCACGACACAGTATCTAACCTGAGGTTTGCACATTGGTAAATCACATTAATGCAGCAGGATCCAAATTAGATCAGGAAGATGTCATCCTGTATATTCTGAATGACCTTCCTCCAACATACAACTCATTTAAAACTGCAATTTGGACACACATACACCCAATTGCACTTGACGATCTCTACTCTTTACTCTGTAGTGAAGAGATTAATATTAATTCAGATAATGCCAAGCAGATTTCAATCACTGGAAACACCTCTTGCTCCTAACTCTATCAAAGGCCGCAACAGTGAGTTCTCGCGCACAAGAGGAAGAAACCAGCAAATGAGCTCAAGAGGAGGAAGAAGCTTCCCCACAAAATCACAGGGAGGAAGAACATCAAAAGATCATATGTAACAAAAATGGTCATTCGGCTTTCATTTGTTGGCACAGAACAAACCTAGAGTATACACCTCCAACTCCACCGCAAACACTTAATACTACATCCAAGGAATGGATAATTAATTCTGGTGCAACCTGAATCAACTTCAATTAGCTACACCGTACAATAGAATGGAACAAGTCATCGTAGGTAATGTCCAAGCAGTACCAATTCAGCATAAAGGTGGTTTTCTTTCTACCCCAACTCGTGACTCAAACTCTTTCAAATTCTTCACACTCCTCTACTCTCTTATAATTTGTTATCTATCCACAACTAACCAAAAATAATAATGTTGTTTCCTTTGATCTTTTTGCATTTATCATTTATGATCCTCAGACTCAACAGATCATACTCAAGGGACCCAACAATAGAGGGCTATACTCTACTCCAGCACCTAATACTCTTACCACATCTCTTTTACCATATCTTTTTCTAAATCGCAACAAGCTACTCTATGGCATCAACGCTTGGGACATCCTCTTGTTGACATCACAAAGGCCATCTCCAAACGACAAGCCATCTTCATTCCTACCAGCTCAATTTCATGTCATACTTCAACTTTACTAAAAGCCACAAATCTTTTGTATCTAGCATAGGACAAAAATATAAACTACTTGAACTTCTTTAGTGATGTATGGAGTCCTTCCCCAATTGTCTCTCATCATGGCTATAAATATTATATTGCTTTCATTGATGATTTCTCTCGATTTTGTTGGGTTTTTCCTATGCATACAAAATTTGAAGTAATCAACATTACAACATCGTTTATTGAATTTCTGCATCGTCAATTTGATACAAAAATCGAAATTCTTAGACCGAATGGTGGAAGAGAATACAATAATAGCAATTTAAATAACTTCCTCAATGATAATGACATACTATATCAATATTCTTGTCTCTACAAACCGGAGCAAAATGATGTTGTTGAGAGGAAGCATCGACATATCATTGAAACCGCTCGAGCCCTCTCCATCATGCTCAACTCCCCTATCGACGGCCTCTTTGCAGCGGTTCATCTCATTAATCGGATGCCTACAAGAACCACCTATTACATCTCTCCTTATGCACATCTACATAATCTCCATCATCCTACACTCAACTGTGAGTCTTTGGTTGCGCTTGTTACCCATGGCAAAAACCTCAAATTGTACACAATTTTGAATTACAATCGATCCCATGTATCTTTTTTGGTTACTCCATTCTACACAAAGGCTATAAATGCTTTCATCCTCCTACCAATAAAATCATTGTATCACGTTATGTAGACTTTGATGAACATGCCTTCCCATTTAACTCAACCACCAACTCTTCAATTCACACCCAATAGCATTCACTGTCTCTTATCTCACCACTACTAATTACACCAACAACATTATCATCTCCACCAACTAACCATCTACGTCTTATACCTATCCCGAACCAATCTCACCTAAGTTCTTCGTCGACCATGTCTCCTGCTGCTTCAGCACTTATATCACCACTCTCACTTCCAACAACTATACCGTCCCACCCTATGATTACCCATTCTAAAACGGGAAACCTCAAACCAACCAACAAACTCTATCTTCTTCATCAAACCATTCTTACTCCAGATCCTACCTCCTATAAGCAAACTTCAAAGTATCTTCATTGGCAATGGGTTATGCAAGAAGAATTTGATGTGGTACAGAAACAAGAAACTTGGGTGCTTATTCCTCCACCACCAAATACTATCATTCTTGTCTCAAGATGGACATACACCACCAAACTCAATTTCAAAGGCATGATTACAAGGCACAAAGCTGGACTTGTGGTTCAAGGCAATAAGCAAGAGTCGATGTCCACTATCATGGAACATTTAACCCAATGGCGAAACTCCGCACCATTCGTATACTCTTCATGGTGGCTCTCCACCACAAATGGGACTTACTACAAATTGAAATATCAAATGTGTTTCTTCATGGTACTCTTAATGAGAAGGTTAACATGAAACAGCCTCCGGTTTTCATGATCAACAATTTCCTTAACTTGTATGCCTCCAAAAATCATTATACGGTTAAAAAAAGCCCCTCATCAATGGTTTATTATCTTCTCAGAGTTCTTTACCTCATGGGGCTTTCAAGTCAGTAAAGCTGATCCACCGATGTTCATCTGAAACCAAAACAATGTCTCTATATTTGTTCTCATATATGTTGATGATCTTCTAATTACGGGTAACAATACCAAATTCATTTCTCAACTCACTTATGCAATGGCTGCAAAATTTTCTTTCGAGCAATTGGGACATGCTAACTATTTTCTGGGCATAAAAGTATATAAATCTGCCAATAACTACTTTCTCAAACAACAGAGGCGCATTATTCAACTAATTGAGACGGGTGGCATACAAAATAGCAAATCGCTCACCATCCCAATGCAAAGACGCAATCCTGTCGAGGCCAAATCAAGCATGTTGTTTCGTAACCCTCAACTGTATCGAAAACTATCAGGATCTCTCCAATATGTCACTCTAACACTTCCATATATTGCTTATGCCATAAATCGACTTTGCCAACACATGCACTTGCCTTCCAATGACAATTATAATCAACTCATTCATCTATTGTGTTATCTAAAAGACACTAGCGATTTTGGCATGCGAATTACACCTGGAAATCTTCAACTTACATCCTTTGCATATGCCGACTGGGCCGGTGATCACTATGATCTTAAATCTACCATGGTGTACGTGCTCCTATCTTGGTGATAATCTTATATCTTGGCAAGTAAAGAAATGGACTGTTGCTCGGTTCTTAATGAAGACCGAATGTTGGGCCTTAGTCACAGTGACTACTAATGTCATATGGCTTCGAATCTTATCGAGGAATTTGACATTCCAGTAATTGAACCAACACTTTTATACTGTGACAACTCTCCGCAATTTCACTGGCCAAGAATCTTATATTTCATGCGAGAACTAAACATATAGAGATTGATCACCATTTTCTTTGGGTTCACATTAAATTGAATCACATCCAACTAGAACACATTCAATCTTGGAACCAACCAACGGACATACTTATAAAAGCTCTTCCGAAACATCAATTCTGTGATACTCGCACCATTCTGATAGTCCAACCAATAACCATCATCTTGGAGGAGGGCGTTAGACCCATCACCACTACAAGTGGACCCAGATACTGTAGCACACATATCCTAATCGAATGATTCTCTGTTATGGGTGATTTGTTATTCTAGAAGATTCACACTCACTCTATATATTGCCTCTCCTATGTATATAGGGGTGTGGAAGAATAATGAACATATGTTTCTGCTTTTCTTTGTTCTAGTTCTCTGGTATCATTAATTCCTTATCTTATTGTTCTTAATTGTGAATTTGGAAATAAAGATATTATAATACAGTTTAGGGTTATGAAGCTTACATATCCTAATTTGAATAATTATTGTTCTTTTCTAAACCCAGTATATTAACCCAGTTAAAGAATAGAGTACATCAAACCCCATTTACTAAGAAATGTCAGAGAAAAAAAAAACAAGAAAAGATGCAAATATTTCATTTGGGTCATCTAGTTTGAAGCTTAATTCAAATGGAGAGTGTCTATATACTTCTAATTCTTGCCCATTCTGATATAAATGAAAATTTTCTTCTATCAAAGGGTTGACACTCTGAATGTTCCAATCAGAATCATAAACTTGTGTTAAATACTGTTTTCTAGTGGGAGGAGATTGATGCATTTCAAGAACTCGTGGGGTTTTCTCAATGATAATATCAACAGTTGATGAGGTAATCACTACCAAGAGGTTAAAGAGGATAGGAACACTGACTCCTATTCCCGCAAGAGAATCTGATTTTGGCACCAAATTTTGGGAACATATCTAAATAGATGAGGGATCTTCTACCAAAAGATTTGGAGAATCAGTGTGAGCATCAAGTGTAAGGTCATGGGATTGAAATTGATAATTTCTTAGCTCAGAATGAGCCATAAAGCGCTCACAGGATTTTTGCCCAAAAGTATAACAAGAGTAGTATAGAGGAATATTTTCAAACTCCACCTTCTTCCAATATTTTGATGACAATGACCCAATTCATATCACTTTATGAAAGAGAGCAGTAGCATTCAATTTCACCATGATTTTAACAGTAGAGGACCTAGTAAAATGAGGATTTATGGCATCCACTTATTAAGGTTTTTTGGAAATAAATGCTAAGGAGAATAAGATAGATTGGTTGAAATAATATAAATAAAACCATGAAAATCTGATCTAAAAAGGGGTGACAGGAGGTTGCGCATAGCAATCTAAATGAGGAAGTCATTTAAACATATATATCAGGAGGCTGTTAATATAGTATGAATGTCATGAGAAGAGGTTGATCTAATCTGCTTTTGAAGAAATCCTTATAATGACATGTTGAGGGTTAGTGAGGCCAACAAAATAATCTATTAGCTGTATATCATCCAACAATTTGTGAATTACCTACATGCTAGGACGATTTATAAATAATTTTCCAATAAATGGGAGAGTGAGAGGTCGAGCGAGCATAGAAATTGTCTTATTATAAAAAGAGAAGAGTGTGCTTGTTTTGAAAATAGTAAGTTGTTTATGTTGACTTGTCTTTTTGATTTCTGATGAAAGAAAAGTAAAAGATTGTTTAGTAAGGAGGAGAAAAATCTCACTATAATTTGAACCACAAGACTGCAACAAATGAGGCGGGGGAGGTTCAGCTATCGGAGAGAAAGGAGGAGGATCAACTTCAGAAGCACATGGGCCATAAGGGAAGTAGGAGGCAACCTCAATGGGTGATTAACCAAGGTCTTAGGAGAAGTCATTGAATGAGTAGTTGGGATCTAAAGAGGCTTTGATGTACTCTTTTCTTTATGTTGTTAATATATTTTACTTTTAGAAAAGTAATAAATTTATTTTGGTTTTAGTGGAAAAAAAGCATAATTCTCCACATACTTATCCCAATCATTTGTTACAGAATAGTTGGATTTCTTTTCTTTTTCACAAAGTGATCACTTTTCATACTGTAGTAATTAATAAACTGAGCTAATCCAAAGATGGATACTTGGCATTAATTCCTCATCTTAGTCAAGTTCGCTGGCAAGTGGTGTCCTTAGCCTTGCTCAACTCGCAGTCTTAGGTTAAGAGATAAGCCAGCTCTCTGTAACCACTGCAGCTTGCATCCCTTCTTAGCTAGATGATATAATAAGGAATTTACTTTGTGTTGAAGTTCTTAAATACATGTCGAATTTTCAATTTTTTAGCTATTATTGTACGCTGAAACCACTTGAAGTTTAGTGAAGCACATAGGCTATGTTAGATGTTTCGGTGTTTCAATTAAAATTGTTTGTTTTATGTGATATGAGCGTATATACCTTGAAAATAATATGTTCTTATGCTCTTTCTTTCAGGAGAAGACATAAGCGTATGTGTGTGCCTTGCTATCTTGGCAGCCTTATTTGATGAAGAAGGTATGCTGACACTTTTAAATGACAGTCTGCTAACGGTTTCTTGTTGATCTAGACAATAGGTACATTTCTATTCATGACATTTTGGAGGTCATTCTTTTATCTGTTTCAATAAGTTTTACAGGAAAATTTTCATGCATGCCGCTTAATTCTTACATATCTAGCATCTAAACTTCAATTTTTCCATATATGCCCCCTTTCCAATGCATGAAAATGTGTATTTCAATTTTTAAAAGTTAAAATAGGGGTATTTTTTATGTGATCTGAAAGATTTGGGTGGTATAAATGTAAAAATCAAAATTTAGATGTTAGATATGTCGATACATAAAGAATTGGCTGGCATGTATGTAAATACATCATTTTTATATCCTCTTACATGCTGCGCTTTCAGGTATTGTCCCACTTTTTCTAGAAATATGGATTTTTTGTAGTATATTTTAGAAAGCTGGTGTTTTTTTAATATAAAAATGATATTTGCTCGACTTTTGACTTGTCCTGGCTTTCCTATACTGCCTCACCGAAATTTCCTGCTCATTTTAATAATTACATAAAAGTTTCCTTGGAGATGAAAAGCTTTTGCTTAATATAATGTATACGCGCAATATTAGTTGTTTCAGAATGCTGCTTGAAGCCCGGTTCAAAAATTGGAAATACATCCAAAGCAAAATCATCAAAACTTCATTTTATGTTAGTCATGAAATCTTGAAAGCTTGAATTCAACATATTCGTATTAGGAAAAAAAAGAAAGAAAAGTTTGTTAAGACAACATTTTGATCAGGATCGGATAAGATATTTGCACTTAAAGAAAGAAAATTTCTTCCGTGCATATTGTTGCATTTTTATTTATTGCAACTTTAATTTTAAAAACATTTGTTCAGCGAGAATTTAATTAAAGGTAAATTAATGTGCTCTGGATTGCCAGAGAATTTCAGTAAATTATAATTACAATTTTTCATCATATGATGATTTAATTGAACTAGAATCTGAATCAGAAAGTTTTATGAATATCTATTGGGGCATTTGCATACATACCACACTTTCGTATGTATTTAGATATCTAACACCTAAACATTCATATTTACGTGCACACCATTCAAACCTTTAACATCATATCAAAAATACTACCATCACTACCTTTTAAAAGTGAAACACACATTTTCATGCATAGGTTTATGGCACCAAGATGTTATAAGCTTAAATATCTAAATTTGGGTTTTAGATATGTATATACATAAGAATTGTGTGATATGCATGTAAATTTTCCAGATCTATTTTTTCTGTCTGTACTTGAGAAATATCTGCTTTCCTTTAGTAATGGTTGGCTTTATATTGTAATGCATTTGCCTATGTTTTAACTCGGTTATCTTTTTCGATTATCTGCATTCTGATTAAGCTTCTTATGATGAAAGTATTGATCTTAACTTTAAAGCGAAGTTTTCCGATTGTAAACGAACTTGAGTTTGGTTTGTTTTAATGAACCGAGCCAATCAGGATCTCATTTTACTAATTTTAACCTTAGTTGTTATGAAGCTCTGATTTAAATTTGCTTACCTTCCTTCACCATGCTTTATTATCTGAGAAAAGTGTCAAAATGGTCCCCTAATTCTTTGTAGGGAGCCATTTTTAGACCCAATGTCTATAAAAGTGTCAATTTAGACCTTGACTCTTTTAATGGAGTTAAAATAGTTCTCGCTGGGATTTATTTTAGCCCATATTAAAAGAATTTACGAACTAATTTGACACTTTTTATAGACTAGGATTAAAATGCCAGATGTGAGGGAACTATTTTGGCACGTTACTCTTTATTTTTTCCTCATCCAGACTTGTTTTGGCCAGCAACTCTCACTGCATTCATATTTATTTCCTTACAGGATGTTTTGATGATGGCAAGTTCTACATGTCGACAAGTATAACAAAATGGGAGATGAGGCGGCGGCTTGTATTCATCTGCATGTTCGCTGTGAATGCGCGACCTTCCCGAGGAAATTTGAAGCAGGTTTTTGGTTTTCTCAGGACAAACAGAGAACATCTTCTTACTACTAATCCTACTATAGATGTTAAGGCTTCAGAAGAAAAGAGTTGGGCGGTTAAGGCTGAGATTTTAGCATCTTCTGGTGCAGTATACCAAGTGTCATGAGGTTCTGATTTTGTTGGCATATGAGATTTTGTATGTTTATTGTATTTTTGTCAGTTCTTTATCCACTTCATTTCTTAATGGTCTAAAATCGGATATATTTATCATTTAGATGAGATTTTTTGTCAGTTTAGTTGCTCTTGATCCTTCCAAGGGATCATTTGGTTGTAATTAAGGATACGCTTTACTTAATTGAATTTGAATTCTTTACAACCTCTCCCTCTCTCTCTCTCTCTTTCTAAACTCATAACGCATTATGTTAAATGCCTCGTCCTATAAATACTTTGTTAGTTGAAATTTGTCTAGCAACATTCTGACATTAATCTTAAAAGATTATATAAATCCTTTCAATCATTTCATTCTACTAGGGGCATCTTAGATGCTGAGAAGTTATCCTTCTTTATAAACTTGTCACACAATAGGCCGAATCTTTCATTCTGAAGCTCTTCGCAATGATCACTCATCTTAATCAATTTACATAAATCTCATTAAATTTATTTTATGAAGTTCATAAATTTATTAGATGGATTATTATTTCTAGTTCAAAAGTTCAACTGTGGTTACCTGTTGGATTGGTTTATTATCTATTTGTTAGAGAATCATAATACTTGAGTATTATAAAAGATTTGGATTGGACTTCAAATAGATTCTCTATGAAGATTTTTAAATTCAAGCTTTTTAATGTGTGGAGATGATGAGGCATTACTTTTAATTCATGAATTGTATAAGGTAAGAATCATAGAAGAGATGTGCTTTTAAAATTAATAATTTATATATTGTACTAGGATTAGGTAGGGCTGTCAATTTGGCTCGTTGTTCGTGAACAGCTCGTGTTCGGCTCGTTAAGCAACTCGTGTTCGGCTCGTTCGTTAAGCCTAATGAGCCGAACAAGGACATTTTTAAGCTCGAAATGTAAACGAGCCGAACACG